ACACACACACACACACACACACACATAATGGGCTTGAGGTCAAGGACATAGTGAGATAGGTTAGGTCAGTTGCAACAGAACAGCTAAATAGGTCAAAGGAAAAAAAAAGGAATCTCAGACCAATCTTAGAGGCTTAATACAAACCAAGGTGTGTAGCACCATCTTCTGAAAATCAAAAAAGGGAAAAGAAAAGAGCAATTAAAATGTCAGTTGGGATAGGATCAGACCAAGAGGCAGAGAAGGTAAGAGGGACTTATGCAGGGGCAGCAGACATCTTGGTAAGCTCTGTCCTTGACCCTTGACTCACCTTCTGGCGCCAGAGCGTCCGTGCTCCCCGCGCTGCAGTTGCTGTCCTCACTCTCACAGTGACCATTAGTGCTACTGTTGTTGTTGTTGTTGTTGTTGTTGCTATTATTGTTACTGGTGGTGGTGGTTGCCGTGGTGGATGTGCTGATGATGTCGCTGGTGCTGGTGGAGGCAGTGTCGCCTTCCGACAGCGTCTCCTCAAACTTTCTCTTCAGCATGATGATGATGCTGGAGTGCTGCGGCAGAGAAATGTGGTGCAACAGAATACCTGCCTGGTCGCAGATGAGATCAGCCAATCAGATGCTCGCGATGTAGATAAAGCTATGGTGATGGGTTCTTGTCTCTACAGGTTACAGCTGGAGAGAAAAAAGCATACAAACAGACCCACAAAGAGCCAGGAGGAGGGATGAGCTGGACGTTCAGTCTGGTCTATCGTGAGTTGCCTGGGATGTCCAAAGGCTTCCCCGGTGATCTGTGTTGTACAGGGCTGAGAGGCCTAGGGCTCTGTCTGTGACTGACAGCCATGCTGCTTGGCACACACGGCCACTCACTCAGAGGGGGGAGGCGGCCACTTCCTGATGGAGAACACACAAAACACAAAGTGTCAGTTTCCAAAAACAGATCTTGAGTTAACACTTACAGTAGGCCGTAGTATGCGTTCACTACTGTTAAGTCGCCAACGCAACCAGGCACACTAAACAAATTAAACAACAGATGGACGCACTGCACTGAAGTAAATATCAAAGGAAGTCAATCTATATGATAGCTAAATGGTTGATGAACCTCAGTGAACTTTTAAAGTGCGTTTCTTGGGCTGCCAAGGTTTATTTCAATAAAAAAAAATTCGACCACGGCTTCAGTGTTTTAAACTGGTGTGGTACTTGAGGGCTTTTCACTATAGGCGCCTTCAGTACTGTAAGTGTTAAAAAGAAGCACATCCACAGGATAACTGGCACAGCAAAAAGCAAGACAAACAAAAATGACAAGTACAGGAGAAGCGGCACCTACAGATGGCAGAGCTTCAGACCAACTGTGGGTGGGGAGGTCGAAGCAAGGAAGCAAGACTTCACAGCCACACCATCCAACCATCCCTTAAATAGCATTAGTGACCACCATGTCCCTCTCTCTCTCTCTGTCTGTCTGTTTGTCTCTCTCCTGACGCTGTGGCGTCAAAAGCGATCAGCGATGCCAACAGTAGCATGCAGGAAAACAACACTTGCTCGGGGGTCCTTGAAAAGTGCTGAACATGGATCACTGAAACGTCACCACCATAATGGCCACATTTCTTTACAAACAGAATAAAGGAGATGTATGGAAAATTAATAGTCTCACTGAGAAGGAGACAACCAGGCAGTAAATAGCAGTGTGCCAAACGAACATGTAGGGGGACAAAATATACACTGAAAGCGTAAATCTGGAAAGAAAGGCAGCAACATCAAGGCTTTTAAGTATTTGTATCTTTTATTAGATAAAACGTTAATCTTATACACATAGATTGCATTGCGGCAATTATCCATAGTATGGGAGAGAGGCAGAACCATAGAACAGTTACCCGAAAGTGTAACAAGGTGGTGATGATCGTAAAACAGGGAGCGTTTATATATATTATATATATATATATATATATATATATTCTTTGC